GGTGGGGGCGGTGCGGGGGGCGGTGGCGGCGGCATGCAGCCGGGTAGCGCCGCCGTGACCTCGGGCGCCTACCGGGGAGACCCGTCCTCTGTCAAGATGGTCCAGAGCGACTTCATGCAGGGGGCCATGGCCGCCAGTAACGGCGGCCATATGCTGAGCCACGCGCACCAGTGGGTCACGGCCCTGCCCCACGCCGCCGCCGCTGCCGCCGCCGCCGCTGCCGCCGCCGTGGAGGCGAGCTCGCCGTGGTCGGGCAGCGCCGTGGGCATGGCCGGCAGCCCCCAGCAGCCGCCGCAGCCGCCGCCGCCACCCCCGCAGGGCCCCGACGTGAAGGGCGGCGCCGGGCGCGACGACCTGCACGCGGGCACAGCGCTGCACCACCGCGGGCCGCCGCACCTCGGACCTCCACCGCCACCCCCGCACCAGGGCCACCCCGGGGGCTGGGGGGCGGCCGCCGCAGCAGCCGCCGCCGCTGCCGCCGCCGCCGCCGCCGCGCACCTCCCGTCCATGGCCGGGGGCCAGCAGCCCCCGCCGCAGAGTCTGCTCTACTCCCAGCCCGGGGGCTTCACGGTGAACGGCATGCTGAGCGCGCCCCCAGGGCCCGGCAGCGGCGGTGGCGGCGCGGGCGGCGGCGCTCAGAGCCTGGTGCACCCAGGGCTGGTGCGCGGGGACACGCCCGAGCTGGCCGAACACCACCACCACCACCACCACCACGCGCATCCGCACCCGCCGCACCCGCACCATGCGCAGGGACCCCCGCACCACGGCGGCAGCGGCGGCGCGGGGCCTGGACTCAACAGCCACGATCCGCACTCAGACGAGGACACGCCGACGTCGGACGACCTGGAGCAATTCGCCAAGCAGTTCAAGCAGAGGCGCATCAAGCTGGGCTTCACGCAGGCCGACGTGGGGCTGGCTCTGGGCACGCTGTACGGCAACGTGTTCTCGCAGACCACCATCTGCCGCTTCGAGGCCCTGCAGCTGAGCTTCAAGAACATGTGCAAGCTCAAGCCGCTTCTGAACAAGTGGCTGGAGGAGGCGGACTCGAGCACCGGCAGCCCCACGAGCATCGACAAGATCGCGGCGCAGGGCCGCAAGCGCAAGAAGCGGACCTCTATCGAGGTGAGCGTCAAGGGCGCGCTCGAGAGCCACTTCCTCAAGTGCCCCAAGCCCTCTGCGCAGGAGATCACCAACCTGGCCGACAGCCTGCAGCTCGAGAAGGAGGTGGTGCGGGTCTGGTTCTGCAACCGGCGCCAGAAGGAGAAGCGCATGACGCCGCCCGGGATCCAACAGCAGACGCCCGACGACGTCTACTCGCAGGTGGGCACCGTGAGCGCCGACACGCCGCCGCCGCACCACGGGCTGCAGACTAGCGTGCAGTGAAGGCAAGGGCGCAGCGCGAAGAGGGCCGCCCCGCCGCCGCCGCCGCCGCCGCCGCCTCCGCAGCGGCCGTCAGCACCGCCGCCGCCCCCGCCGCCGCCGCCGCCGCGCCGACCCTGCACCTGGGCCTCACCGGCCCGAGCCCAGGCCCTGCCGCCGCCCTCCCCTCCGCCCAAAAACAGGCATGCCCGCCCTTGGAGGAAAAAAAACCAGGGAGAGACAGACCAAGGAGACATTTTTTGAAGTCCAAGGAAGGAGGGACCAAAAAAATTAAAAAGCATAATAAATACCCAGACTGTTTCATATACATATACAACAAACAAAACCGGAAGAGAAAAAGGGGGCGATCATGAGATCTCGTTTATACCATGGTGGTGTTTCGTTTTTTGTTTTTGTTTTTAAAAAAGGGTGAAGATGCCTAACGCACCAAAACTGCACTCGTGAGATTTTTCCCACCCTGAGATGACCTACATGGCAGTGGTGGACAGCACCTGCCTCGTCCTCTCCTCTTAAAAAAAAAAAAAGAGTCCCCCTTCCTTTCACTTTCTCCCTCCAGAAGGGCTGCCTAAACAGATCCACGGAAACTTTCTTTCCTGGGAGCGACCTGAAAGAAAGCAGAGGCACCGCGTTTCATCAGGGAATGGCTCAGTGCTCCGGGACCCTGTTTTTCTTGGCCATATTCAAGTCATTTGGGAACAAACAAATCAACTATGAAATGGGAAGGAGGAGGGGAAAAATCTCCAGGAAAATAAAATATTCGCAGCTTCTGAAATTAACAGACTGAATAGCAAAGCCAAAAGTATCCTCAAAGTAACCTTGGAAATAAAAACATCGCAAAAGAGCAGAGGGATGGGCGAGGGAGAGGGGGACGTCCACCGAGGAGTGGCGAGAGGCCCCTGCCAAGTCGGGTCGCGCGGGCGGGCGGACTGGGCGCGGAGCGAGGGCCCAGCCTGCGAGGCCGCCAAGCGAGGCCCGGCCGCCAACCCAGGCTTTAACGGCTGCCACTCCGGGTGGACCATGCCTAAAAATTCCACCGCTAATATTTTTTTTATTAATATTTTTTATTTTTTATTTCTGGACTGACTCAGATAAAGGAATTTAGAAAGACTGAGCACCAGCCGCTGCACTTCTCTGGACTTCTCTCCTCAATCCGTTGCCAACTTTGATTGAATGGGTGCTGTGGATGTGATTATATAATACTGCCATTTCCAAGCAGTGTTTTTGGTAGGTTTTAATAAACAGACTTTTCAAAAGACGGCAATATAGAATTGTTAGATCCGTTGTTGATCTAAAAATATTTGCTTTATATTTTCATTAAATGACTTCTTTTAATATTTTATTCAGAATACTTATGAACTGCTGCAAAACGGTAATTTATTTTTCCCCAGATCTTGTATTACGTGTTTTTTTCAGACGAGCACAAATCAAAATGAAATGAAAATATGGACAGTTGTTAGGTAATAAGGGTATCTTTTGATGTGATCATTTGATTGTAATTTAATTTGAGTAGTGATTCCGTAAGAGCTGATCGAGAAAATAAATTTGTTAGAATGAAATAGTCTGTGTCTGATGCATAAACACTGTGTGGGAAGAAAAGAGTTCTTTAGGAAATATTTTTTTACTAATGAAAATCCTTAAATAATAGCATTGAGGAAGTAGAGCCTGCTCCACTTAAGGTATATTTGGAAATCTAGAATAAAAGATAGGCATTTCTGAAACAGCTAGTATTTTAACATAGTAATCACTTCTTGTTAATCCATAAATTTCACAGTATTTTTCTCTCCCTTAATTTTAGTGGGTATCTTTAGTGTTTTTAGGTGAGATTATCTAGATACTAGCCCTTTTCTTGAAGATACCTGTGTTCTTTATTGGAAGATTGAACTACATCACCAGTAAAAATGTGCCAACTGGTTATTAATGGTTAATATAGCCCCTCCCCCAAGTTCAGCCTCTCTTTTTCTTCTCATTCCCCCAGCATATTCCTGTCTCTTTTCTCTTTTTCCGAAGACTAATAGTTGTTAAGAATAGCTTATAAGTCTATAAAATATTTTGATATGAATTACTTCCACTAATAACTATATATAATTAAATTTAAATTATTAAGTTTTTTTGTTGTTTTTTGTTTTTTCCTATAATGACAAAATATAATTCTAAAATCCTGATTATGATCCACACTGCATCCATCTGTGCAACTACCAGCTCAGACTTAAGGTTCTACATTTCTGTGTTTTTGTCTTTCCCCCAGTATCATTCGATATCTTCTTTACTAGTGCTGGGAGTTTTAGCTTTTTAGATCATTTTTTAGATAAATCCTGAATAGTGGTCACATTTATCAAGTTAATGTTTCAATATTTACAATGTGGGAAAATGAAAGTGTAATGCCTCAGGTTGTGTATACTAAAGATGATAAAGGCTCTGCTTAGTGGAGTCCCTACGTATTGTACTTTTTAAAAAAAGTATTTAGGGGTGATAAAGCAATGACTCTATAGACAAATTTCCCCGGATCTCACTTAGCTGTCACTCACTTTTTTCCTTCTGTCCTCTTCACTCCCTCTCCCTGTGATATCAATACAGGGGTTAAAAAACCCGGAAAACTGTGAGAGCAACAAGGAACAGTTATTTCTCCCAGACAGGCCCTGTGTCACTTTCATAAATCAAGCCCAGCCAGATGGCCGCGTACTGGGTTGCATTATTTTAAACACCAAATTGTACTAAAAATCACAATCATTTTGATTTGTGAAATCTGAAAAAGGCCATATTTATTAAAGAGAGAGAAGAAAAAAATGAAGACAAGAAATCACAATTTACTTTTCTTTGCCTCCTTGTTTTCTATTTCTCTTGCTATTGTAATGGCTCTACCCAGTGAATTTACAACCTGAAGTGGGGTGGGGGTGAAGTTCATTGTTTTTTGAGGGTCTAAGGGGCAAGCGAAGAAGTCCTCATTGGAAAGCTGAGGATTGAGCAGGTTGTTTTTAAGTGGTGGATACTACTGGCACGTGAGATGGAATCCTGTTCTTTCTACAGGAATGGTGGTGGTTGATTAGACAAGGAATGGGGTCTATTTAAAATTTTAGGAGGTATCTACTTACTTGATTTAGCTGACAACAAAAAAGCTAACATTAGATTTCATACTGTTTTCTATTAAAAAACTAACTTTGCTGATTACTTTGGAAGAAGCCCTGATTTAGCAGAGTAACTTTTAATAAGAGAAGCTGGGAAAGCAAGCCCATCTTGTTTCATTATTTTGCATTTTATAAAGTGAGCTAAGGCTTGCACTCCATTTTTTTTGATCAACCCTTTGAATGTATTTATGAAATGAAATTCATGGTTGAAAAACAAAAGAGAGCAGACATAACTGAGAGGTTTTGTGCTAAGGCTTATATTGTTACACATGTAAATAATGAAAATATTGTTATATATCACCAGATCTTTTTAATGAATTTGGTCATTGTGTTCCTTTGCAGCGCAAGTGTCTTGTGCTCCGTAAAGTGCCCATTTGTTTCCTCCATTTCAATCCCCTCCTCCCCTTCCAACCCAAAGGAAAGTGACAAAGTTCTGTTCCATCAGCCTGGCTAATCCCAAGCTAGGCCCATTTGCAGTTTACAGTCTCCCATGACTCTTAATCAGTTGTCCAAGCCTGGGTCTCCTCATTCATCCAACCATCTTCCCCTGGCAAGTCTGTGCCATAAATCATTCAAGGTGTATTTAAAATAGTCACTTCGCTGTTGTTGCTCTGCCTTTTTTTTTTTTTTTTTTTTGTGCTTAGCCAAGAACTACTTCTTTGTTCCAAAATAGAACTGTTCATTATTGATCTTAGAGATTCCCTCTGCTTCCCTGTAGCCTCCAGTGTTTGCTCATTACCATGCTCATAATCTGTTTTGTATGAATGATTTTCAACATTCAGAGAATAATTGGTTCTAATATTAAATGCAGTATATACTATTGATAGTTTTATCGATAAGTGTAATATTTTAAATAATTTTAACAATTAAATTTGTTTTTTAATTATATATTTGTAAAGTATTTATCCTGTTGGAAGCAACAATATATTGTTGTATTTATTCGTTTATTTTTGTAATAAATGATCAACCTCGTCAAGCTAAATCAAAAATGACACTTCTATATATTTATAAAAAATGCACTTTAAGAGATGGGCATATTTGCACCAATTTGTATGTAAATAGAGTAAGATACATCAATAACTTGTAGCTTTCAGAACTAAATTGAAGGAAGAAACAGTCTCTCCACATGGAGTTTAGTTTGCTCAAGTTCCAGGGTAATTAATCAACTATAAAATGGATGCAACAAGTATTGGCACTGGATGCAGACTTGAAATTAATTATTTAGGAGGTGGACCTGTTTTTTTGTTTTTAAGGCAGAAAGATAGAAATTAGAGAAATCTCTTTTTTTCTGTGAAATGCACATGGCTGGCTGCACCTATTAGAACAGATGCTGTGTTTCAGTGATAAAAACTAATACCTGACTATGCTCATGCATCTATGTTGGGGAATGAAGTTGGAAGTTTGAGGTTCTCAGTGACCCAAAAGCAAGGTGATGTTAAAAAAAAAAATTGTGCTAGGTTAAAAAAAATAGATCCCTTTAAAATAACTTACTGGAGAAAACCCTTTCTCCTAGTCCTGCTACTGACAGTATAAGCTATCAGTACAGGTGGTCTTGTTGTTCTTAAGAGTGATGCAATTAAGAAGTGTGGGGCCACCCCACCTCTCCTGCTCTCTAAGTTCTGTAGGTCATTTGGTCATCTTAGTTCCTCAGGGCTGCTGGTCTGAGGGCCCGAAGGTCACCCATGTGACTTCCAGGTTTCGGGAACCCCACTGTAGGCTTGATCTTGATTTCAGTAAGGAAATCAGAGGGCTCTGCGTTTGCATCCTGAACTTTCCAGCCTAGGGAAGGAAATAGTGCGCAGGCTAGAAGAGCTGGGGGTGGGGGCAGCGGAGATAGCAAGAGGGGTACTTGTGTAATCAGATTCTTTGATTTTGTTAGCCTGGCTCATGGCCTATTAATTAGATTACTCTCTCTTTCATTCTTGATTTCACATCCGTGTTTGTTCCTGTATCCTAAAATGTGGGCGCGAGCTTGGCGAGCAGGAACCTATGATGTCACTGCCGGCCAGCGCGGCCGCCTGGCCTTCTGGCGGGCTGTGGGCTGCGTTCTTGATGAGTCCAGTCTTCCTCAAGGAAGAGCCGGCTCTGGAAGTGACCTCAGAGGGGTCTGGGAAGAAGGCAACAGGCATTATTGTCGTGGCGGCACGATGCATGAGCTAGTGTGTGAGTGTGAGTGTGTGTGCGCGCGTGTGTGTGTGCGCGTGCCGTGAGCCAGTGGGTGCGTATGAGGGGAGGAGATGCAGAAATTCGCGGTCTGGACTCAGAAGCCCTCGGGATGCAGGCGATTTGGTCAGGTATAGGGCCTGCCTCTGGCAAAAACCTGGGGTCAGAAGAGGCACTGGGGAGGAGGACCCAGCGCAGCCAGGCACCAAAAACCCGTTTCCCTCCGGGAGGGAGGGCAGGACTGGGCGCGGAGGTCGGACGGTGGCGGTCGCTGTGGGGCGGCCCGGTCCTTGGTCGACCCGGCTCGGCCGGGCGGCCCAACTGTGGCAGCTGCTGCGGGTCCCACAAGTTGTTTTCCTCGTGGCGACCATTCAGCAAAATGCACGATCCTTTCTCAAAGATTTAAATTTCGCGGATGAATTACCATACACCGGTTGCTTAGCAACTAAATTCAAGCAGGGCTAAGAATATGCAAGCTTTTTGTATTCTCATTAATAAAAATGCCACTCTGACACAGCAACCCGACTTTGGATCACTGCAACTTCTGTAAAAGCCGTAGGAGAATACAAACCGATCCTGCCTTTCAATTACAGATCAAAATGGCTTGAAACGCGATGTTTTGTTCATCTATCTTCCTAAAAGCGATGTAAAAAATAACGGCTTTCAAGAGCAGTAGTAAATTCTTCTTCTTTTTTTTTAATGGAGTTGTCTATTGGGGTTACTGATAATTGTCAACTGAAACCTTTTGAAATACAGGTTGAAATATCCCTTTTCATCAACATTTCTACTTTTCCCCTCAGTCCCCATCCCCCACCCTCTGATCCTCTTCTCCTTCCTCAGCCTAAAAATAACAATAATAATAATAATTATTATTATTCTAGAAATACTCAGGCCTTAGGAGCCCTAGACACTAAAGGGCAGTTAGCAGAGTAATCAACAAGCCCGGTGGCTGGAGAAAGCCCAAGGAATAGAGGCGAGAGAGAGAAAGGGAAACTTCTGAAAGTTTCCTTGGAAGGTTGGAAGAGTTTTTGAAGGCTGGAGTCGCTCAGGTCCCAGAGGTTCTGGCGATGACTTTCTGGAAGGCCTGTGGGAAGTAAGATAGAAATGCCTGTGGATCTCTGCTCTACGTTTGCGGATTTTCCGGCCTGAGCTCCAGCATCCCATCGGGGGATTCAATCGCTGCCTCCCTCTCTGCAGACCGTGGAGTTGTGAGGAGCTGAGTTCAGGGCCTGGCTGACCCGGGCTCTCTCTGTCCGAAATCCACTTCCCTG